GTCTCATGATCAACTGTTCACTTGTGGCTTGGAGCTTTTTATATCCTTTTGTATATTTACGTTCAAAAAAAAATTATTTGTTTATATTTTAATATATTTTTTCTAGAAAAATCAATAATCCATAAATATTTCATTCCTATTTTTATTTCTTTTTAGAAAAACAAAATTACAAAAATAATTTCTTTACTTTCTTCTATTTTATTTTACTTGTTTCCAAATACCAAAAATACTGGATAATTAAGCAGTTTTATGTCAAGAATCTTGGTGATCTCAATTACGAATGATGGGGCAGGTATAAACTTTCTTATCTATGTACTAGTTAAGTGTCTGTAGAATCATGATGATGCATGTTGTCTGAAGCCTCAATGACTCTATGTTGAAGCCTTAATGATCCAATAACACCAATCGTTTCTTCCCAATTAGGTTATTCATTCACATACATCTTGAGCTACCTTACTATTCTCATTATGAGTTAAGAGTTTGCTGCTTGGTCACTTTCGCATAACAGAGGTACACTATTTTTTTGGAACCATATGATATTCTTCTCCATCACTTTCGCATTCACCAATGTAAACCTCGAGACTCTTTGATATTACCACTCAGGTTTATGGTTACACAACTTCTGTGTTTATGATCTTCAATTCATTATCACCACAAATTGAGTGAAACCCAAAATCCAACAAACTTATACGAATTGACGGTGAACAATATACATGTTCTAGACTTTTCACCAAGGAATTAACAAAAATCAACTTTTGTGGTCTGTACCAAGAAATCTCCATTTCTTTTGCGAGATCTTAATGAAATGTTCTAAACCTAAGATGTTTCTACCCAATAGATTCATTTTCTATTTTTTCTTGAGATTTCTATATGAATCCCTGTCACTTAAAATAATTTCAAAGCTTACTTGTTCAATTGACTACACTAATCAAACAAGTACATCATTAGAACTGTCAGACTTATATCAAGTTGCATAGTTTCGTTGGAGACAGAACCACCCATTAAAACCTTTTAAAAAAATACCTTTTGTTGTTTCTAAACAAACAAGTGATCGTAGTTCAATGCCAAACTGACACTTCTTAGTCTCTCTTGACTTAGAAGGAAGAGACCTTTGAGTCCAATACTGTGAAGGCTAATGAAGTCATTTCTAGCCTGGGCTTAACCCGTAAAACCGAGAAAGCGAAAATTCAAGAGGTTCACACTGGTTTTAAATATGACCATGATGAGTTCAGTTCATCCATCTCCTCGAAGATCTCTAAGCTTTAGGATGACTTAGCCATGGAGAGAAAAATTTATGGATGCTCTCGCCATAAAGACTGAAAAGGTGAAAGTTTGGCGGTCAAGTTTAAAAATGCTGAAAAACCAATCAATGATCTACTATATGAGAAAGAAACTATGAAGAGTTGTATAGCTGATGTAAATGGCCTGCCTTCAGATATTACTGAGACTAGTGACTTAATGATCACAATCATGGTGAAGAGGCATCTTTCTAGGAAAATCAGGATCGTCTTTGCCTTGATTCACAGACTGGAAGGTATCTCAGAATCTAGCTTTATTCTAAAACAAAGGGGAGAAGGTGTGACTCAATCCAAGAAGGAATACCCCAAACATATAGTCAAGCCCATTGTTAAGAGTGAAACTGAGCCTAAAGGCAAAGAAAAACTTGTCAGTGAAGAGCCAGTTATTGACAACAGTGAAGATGAAGAGCCTAATGAAAATGAGTTGAAAGGAAGAAAAGAATGTGAAGCTCAGATGGATGAGCATCAAAGGATAATTTGTGAGGCTGAAGCGAAAGAGAAAGTTGAATGCAAATCTCGGGTTATGCTGGAAAGCCGAAAACTCTTATTTCTGGTGTAGACTCTTAAGCGAATTCAAAATGAAGTTGTGGATATGCCGAGTCAATATTGCCTGGAACCAGTTGTGTCATTCGATATTCAGAATTCACAAGATTTGCAGTTGGACCTGTCAATAACTCTGGAAGCCTTCAGGTTTCGCTCCTGTGTGAAAGTAGTGAATGTTCCATCCATAGATAGCAGTGCAGATCATTTACTCTTCTCGTTTTATCTCAGGGATATGAAAACACAATACGAAATGTGGAGTTCTAGAAAGATTAAAGTAGATAAGGTCACTGGTCCAATCGAAACCGAAAACTTCCCAAATGTGAAGTTCAAGGTTTTGATAGGTTCGTCCAGTCAGGTCCACGATTTTACTCTTGTAGATCTGCCTTGCCTCAATCCTTATGACTAGATCATGTTTTACAATTTCTTGCTAAGAGATGGACAGAAATATGAGCCCATTATTTCTCACCTCAAATAGATGTTAATTTTGTATATTCAAGAGGTAGGCAAAATGGATGTGGAAATTGCTACCATACTGCGAAGGAAGCCCACTTTTCTCCCTAAAAAATCCCTACAAGTTTTTGAGAAATTGAAGACTGGGAAGATACAAAAGGAAGGATGGTATGTGGTTTTTTAGTTGAGAGAACGAAATGATGCAAACTTTCATAAGGCCTGTTTCTTTCTCGCTGATAAGCATATATTCACTACCTCTTGCCTGAAGTATGTTTTGGATATGGTCAACAAGTACAAGGGTAATAGAAAATGTGACAAGAAGTGCTTTTCGGATATGATTCTATGGTATATCCAGGTTTGCAAGGTTCTACTGAGCGTCATTCCAAAGATTTTTGAAGTGCAGAAGCGAAGTTAGCCTTGATGGACTCTCGCCTCAATTGACGCAAAGGGGGAGATTGTTTGGTATATGTGTTGTGTCATTATGTTTATTTATTTAGTCCGTTTTGTAACTGGGTTGGGCATGTCCACCCATCTTTTATTATTAGGGTTATAGTATTTAAGGTGCATGCATGCACCGTATTTTGTATCTTTGAAAATAGTCTTGTAACCCTAAACGCCTCTACAGTAGCAATTCTTCATTGAATTCTCCTGAGGTTATGGCTTATAATCATTAAGTACATTCTGATCTATTTGTCATGTTCATATTCATTAATTGTTTGAATTTATTCAATCTTACCACGATTCAATCCTAATATTCGTGCTTATAGTTTTCAGTTTTGGTTCCAGGTACTTCCGGTAGCAAGGGGAAGAGCTCGGGATGATTGTAGTGTACACACCATTTGTTCAGCCTGGGATGTTTATCCTTTAATGTTTGGACATGTGACTTTGATATAGTGTTTTGATATGATGTTTGAGATACTATCAATTATGTTTTTTAGATGATTTGGTTTACTATGGTTTTATTTATAAATTAAAAATGAAATTTTTGGACCGTATTTTTGGGATGTTTCAAGTTGGTATCAGAGTCTTGGTTTGAGGGATTTGGGTACACTCTCGGGTGTGTCTGGACTCAAACTAAGTACTTGGTATAAAGATTTTCAAAAATAAAACCATTTTTATAAAAAGGATTTTGAAAAGAGAAAAAAAGGTGTGGTGCATGAAATTAGCCGAGCTCAAGTAAGTACTCCCAAGTTACCCGTACAAGTTTATGTTATGATATGATTATGAGAACTGCATGCTAGATTAGGGATAAGTATCTAGGAATGATGCCTTGTATGCCTATTATATGTATATGCTAATTGCATGCTAGTTTAGGGCTAAGGATCTAGGAAGGAAGCCCTATGTGCCTGCTGTATGAGCTTATTGAACTGTATGCTTGTATTGATTAGTCAGTGATATGATAGCATGAGTAGAATATGCTTGATTTTGTTTACTCAATGCTCGAATGTTGCTTGCTTTGTGCTTCTAGGAGTCCTAGTTATCTTTAACTAACTAGTAAACGAATACGTTAAGTTACATATTTCGAGGACTAAATAATTTCAGAAGGTTAGGTTTAGCTCTATTTCGTAGCTCTAATTTGAGTCTAACCATTGTAGGGTAGGACCTCTCGTTCAAAGAATTATATGGTCTTAGTGATATGTAATGGTATTCGCGAGCTAGTTAGGGGAGAAGGCATGAACTTCTTGTGCAGTTGATGGTGGAGAGTATGTTGGAGGTTACCCTAGGGAAAGCCTAGGATGAGATTAGCGCATAAAGCAATAGTAGTAGAAAAGACTTGGTGGAGTCAAGGCAGTTCTTGAGGAAACTATGGATAAATGTGGAAAGTAGTATAGGCCCATACTATTGAAAGCAGAGGATCTGTACTCGAATCAAACAAGGCTGATATAAACCCGGGAAACTTGTAGTATGTGACATCCCTCGAGTTATGATGAGTATTTTGATGTTTATTATGATGTATTTTCAGTATGGTGACGCTACACACTAGACCAGTTGGCACTTTAGGCGCTCGTGACGGATCAGGCTCAGACTTTGGAGTAAGGCACCTGGATGAGCAGATGAGAGATTTCATTTCATCTGAGGTCATGCGCATTATCATTGACCAGACTATTGTGATCTTCGATATGATCAAGGAGGGTATCTTGGAGATTTTGGATGAGAGACTGAGTGCATTCCACACCGAGGCGCCGACCATGATAAGGTCGTACACGATGACGTTCATGTATTTCAGAGCTTGTGGAGCTCACGACTATCATGGGGCTCGAGACCCTATTACTAGCAGCAGGTGGTTGGCAGATATCACCAACGCCTTCCGTACCAGCAGTGTCTCGAAGGGGACAAGGTCCGACTTGCTTCTTGTCTTCTCAAGGATAGGGCACACGATTGGGGTGAGGAGGTTGGGCATGTTATTGGTGATGTTGCCCTTGATGCTATGACTTGGAGTGATTTCTCGGCCAGGTTCAGGGACAAGTTTGCACCTGTAATTGAGGTACAATAGCTTGCGAGGGAGTTCCAGGACCTCCAGGAGACTATGGAGTAATATCTGCCAGTTTGTGGCTTGGAGTGATTTCTCAGCCAACAGACTACGGAGTGATCACCTCTATGTTTACGGAGAGGACCCGTCTTGTTTTGCAGTATGTGGCAGACGAGGAAATAAAATAGGCCTGATACCATGAGATGTTTTGGAGTGATATTCGCCAATTTGTGAGCCGATCCAGCTGCAAGACGCTGGAAGATATGATTGCTAGGGCTCGGGAGAGGGAGCTAGATTTGGAGATGGAGAGGAAGAGGAAACTAGATGAGGTTTAGACAGGTAGTTCAGGAAAAAATCCCAATGTAGCAAAACACAGATCGAGGAGCTAGCAGGGCCATAGCCGGTGTGGAAAGTGTGGCAAGATGCACGAGGGGGCGTGCATGGCGGGGAGTTCGGGCTACTTCAAATGTGGCCGGACTGGTCACATGAGCAGGGATTGTACTTCTACCACCACCACCATAGCAGTTTTAGATCCGATTTGCTTTCAGTACAATTAGAGGGGCCACAAAAAGGCCGAGTATCCGAGTTTAGTAGTAGTAGGACAAGTGGCGGCACCCGCTCATGCGACATTGAGGATTATAGATGGCCATCAAGGCCGGGCTGAGGCACCTACGACGAGGAACAGTGCTATCCAGCTTACTGCCGAGGAGGCATGTGCAACTCCTGATTGTCGCTTATATTTACGTGTTTTATTATAGGATCATTCCTAGTGAACATTATATCAGCTCTGGTACTGTTCGATTCCGGGGCTACCCGATCTTTTATGTAGCTCGCACTTAGCAAGCGATTTGTTAGAGTTTCGAGGCAGCTAGACTATGCATTGGATGTAGATATAGCAGATGATAGGACCATTCAGGTTGTGGGAGTTCATCGGGGATGCACACTACAGTTATTTGATGAGCAGTTTTATGTGGATCTATAACCTTTTCCCCTGCAAGGGAATAAGGTTATAGTTGGTATGGACTGGCTGAGCCCCAATGGGGCAGTGATTGATTGCGAGCAGCAACTAGTGAGAGTTCGGACTCCTAGTGGGGGAGGGTTAATGATTCAGGGTGAGAGGTCGTAGAGTGGGCCAGCTTTATGTTCAGCAGCGAGGGCTAGACGATACCTTCAGTAGGGTTGCACATGATATGTCTCTTATGTTATGGATACCCGGGATAAGGGTAAGGTGAATGTGCATGATGTACCGGTCATACGAGAGTACACGGACGTGTTCCCAGATAACTTTCTTGGGGGTACCTTCAGAGAAGAAGGTAGAGTTCAGGATTGACCTAGTTCCTGGTGTGGCTTCGATAGCAAAGGCACCGTATCAGTTGGCTCCTCCTAAGATGCATGATGTTTCTACTCAACTGCAGGAGCTATTAGACAAGGGATTTATCAGATTGGGCAGTTCATGCTAAGGAGTCGTGATCCTATTTGTGAAGAAGAAGGATGGGTCAAATCAGATCTGCATAGACTACTGGGAGCTGAATAAGGCAACGATGAACAATCGTTATCCCCTACTGAGGATTGATGATTTGTTTGACCAGCATATGCGAGGTAGAGATGACGATGTGCAGAAGACAGCTTTTAGGACTCGCAACAGTCACTATGAGTTCGTGGTGATGCTATTTGGGCTCACCAACACTCCTACCGCATTCACGGACCTCATGAACCACGTGTACAGACTGATGTTGGATCGGTCTGTGATAATCTTCATCAATGATATATTGTTTTATTCCAAGACTCAGGAGCAACATGAAGAGCACCTCAGGGAGGTGCTAGAGACACCGAGGAGGGAGAGACCTTTTGCAAAGTTCTCCAAGTGTGAGTTCTGGTTGCGCGAGGTGCAGTTTCTGGGGTTTTTTGTCAACCAGAAGGGTATTATGGTCGATCCGGCCAACATAGAGGTCATGATGCAGTGCGAGGTTTCGAGGTCTCCAACTAAGATTTGGAGTTTTCTTGGTCTAGCGGGTTACTATCGGAGATTCATCCAGGATTTCTCCAAGATAGTTGTACCTTTGACCCGACTGACTAAGAAGTCGGTGACATTCTCCTGGAGGCCTGAGCAGCAGGGGGCCTTCGAGACTCTCATACAGCGGTTATGCGAGGAACCGATTCTGACTTTGCCAGAGGACCTCAACAACTTCATGATTTACTGTGACACTTCGATCACGAGCATGGGTGTGGTTTTGATGTAGCGGGGTCACGTGATAGCTTACGGTTCGAGGCAGTTGAAGCCTCAAGAGGCGAACTATTCGATGCATGATTTAGAGCTGGGGGCTATGGTTTTCACCCTGAAGATTTGGCGGCATTACCTCTATGGGGTTCATTGTACCATTTACACAAACCACAAGAGCTTGAGGTACCTCATGGATCAATCGAATCTGAACATGAGGCAGCGCCGGTGGTTACTCTTGGGTTTTTGTATACTACAACATCCTATG